TAAATAAAGGATTGTACACAAAAACCTCCATGTAATACAACACCTGGATTATAAAATAAATATGCAGTAGGTCACGATAAAATACAACTGTATGCACAATCAATAATTTTATTGTATTTAAAAAAGAGCGGTGCTATAGAATCTCAGAGAAGTATGTACTTATTTTATGGAAGTCTTTCAGAAATGATAGACAGAATTATAAAGATAAGGCGGTTCGTTTAACAAAAGTTTTTATCAAACCGATGAGTCCATAAAAATATAAATCATAACTGAATAGTCTATATGTACAGATTATGTTTAATAATATTGAATAAATATCGTTAAAGCATAAAAAGACTACTGCGTACAGTGTTTACATTATTATAAATTCTTTATTGTTATAATATAATAATGTTTTATTGCTGATAGTAATAATCATTTAAGGCTAATAATCAGATTTCTCAAAAGTAAGCAGTCTAATTCATTTTTAATTACTTTTGAAATTAATGGACAAGGAAAAGAAAAATTTTTTAGACCAGTTTTCATGGTTTAAAAAACTTTTCCCTTGCCATTTTCCTTTCTTTTTCGCCAATGACGCCTTGGAATTTGTCGATCAAAGCGAGCAACCCGCATATTTGAGATTTTCTCAGGACCCATCTTCGGTTTCATCATCAGGGAAAGAGTAGCAATAAGTGATGCAGTGGACTATAAAATATTGTCCCGAGTGCGTTTAGGAATGTATTCGGTCATCTCGCAACCCGTACTGTGGTTCTTATCAGTCCCGGACTCCATCAATCACCCGGAACTTTGACCTCGTACCGGAACTTACACGTGTGCCACATTACTGGCGCTAGCCAATAGTGTCGCTAATGGTGACCTCCCCTTTTGATGTGCACTAAACTGAATGTAGAAAGCCATTTATTTCGTCTTAGCCCTGGGTCTCTGGCGAATTCTTACAGGTGGCTTCTTATATTTAATAAGCACAAAATTGGCATCAATGTATTGATTTCTATAAACAAAGTTAGAACTACGAGGAGTTGGTGAAATCCAACACCTAAGTTTCGAAACGTGATGTTATCACTTAATGTGTAACTTATTTTATACATTTTTAATAATTTAATGACTTGTACTTTGGCAACACGCACAAAGTTAATCTATAACATATTGCGTGTTTTTTGGGGTTTCTGAAGTTAACAATGCTTGTGTTATGGAAATTTTGTTTTAGCAAAAATTAACATTTTAAACCTTTGAAAGGATTTTGAAAATTTTATTTTTGTTTTTTTCCATTATTAAAATTGTAGAAATCAAAGACAAAATTGCAAAGGCAACATGAAAGATTTCAACAATTTCTCCGAACGTTGGATGTATCCACAGTCTGGTTGTTCAACTGGAGTTTAATAAAACTGGCAATTTTTCAATTCGTAAAAGTAATTTAGAAGTTTGCAAACATTCAGCGTTTAAAATGATTGGAACACGAGCAATATTTGTCGAGACTAATTTTGCCGATTTAAATTATGAAGCAGTAAATGGAACGATTGAACAGTTTCAGTTTAATACAAGCCTATGGAATTGTAATAATGACTGAAATGCGGCAATGACTTGCTTCTTACGAGTTGAAGTTTAAATTTTGGAAGAGTTTTTTATTAAAAATTATCAACAGTTTGTGTTTGTGTGAATAAAATATCATCATTCAAATTCAAAAATAAATAAATACAAGACTTGTATGGTTTTCCGTTCCTTACAAGCCATAATTTACTATTCATTTTATACATAAAAATTATCTATTTAATGAAAAAAACATCATTAAGTAATTACAATTATTTTATTGATTAGCACTTTCTGTGCTACATCGTTTTTATTGACGAGCACTTTTGTGTTTTCCTATCACAAAAATTGTAAAACAAACCTTGAGTTGTTAAATGACTTTGATAATTGACAAGTTGTCATTTGAAAAATATTTGTTTAATGTTCTAATTTAATTTTATTACAAAGTTTATTTTAAGGCGGCAGAAACAAGATTACGTATGCTTTAAAATTTTTAGCAAAATCACATTTTATACTTTTTTTTCTTCAACATGTTTTTTCCGGATTTTTAAAAACATAATGGGTGATTTTAATAATTGTGCAGAAATTTCAAAAGAGAAAAATTTTAGTAGAAGGCAAAAAGTGCGAAAATAACTGAACTTGTTTTATCTGAATGTTTATAGTTTCTGGGATATGGAGTTTTAATTGCCAAATAAATTTAAATTCGGCCTTAGACTTTACCAGCAAAAATTAAAAAAAATATAGTATTTGAGGTTAGCTCTTCAAAATCTATTCCATTGTTTAAAAAAAAACTGAGTTAAAAGTAAAAAAAAAACTGCCACAGATTAATGTGCTAATACTAAAAACAATAATAAAAAGGAAAAAAATTCGCGTTAAATTTTTTGTACAGGATACCACCGAATTTCATTACTTTAGATGTCACATTTATAAGGCACAAACATTTATAAGGCAAGTTGAGCTTGACTTTGTTAGACCTGTACTGTGACTATAAAGTTGTTGAAAAATTGGTGTAACAAAAAGTAAGTAAAAGTAGTAAGTGTACCTATAAAAAGTATTTTGCAAAATAAGAAAAATTTTGTCATTTTTTGTTGTAGATTTTAACATTTTTAATAGTCTTCTTCTAGTAATAGCCGATGGCTGATCTCACATCGAAGTTTTCGAATTTTTATGACTACAGTCATAACTTATAATAAAATACATATTCAACATACTCTAAGCGTCTTAATGAACTAATAAAACTACAACATTTTAACATTTAACAATGTAATATTTACATTAAAAGTACATACAAAGCTACCATACAAAAATTACTCGGATTAATAAATATTTGATTTAGCTATTCCAAAAGTTTCATTTTTTTTTGCTCTATTAGTAGTTAACCATGCCTGATTTGCCTAATCATCAAGTATTTATTTACCTGATTTATGTTGGTCGTATAAACGATTCCACCCGGAACTATAAAAATGGTAACGAGTTTACCGGAAGTGGCAAATAGGCGAAACGCCGGCACATCGTAACCTCTTCCGCAAGGATTTAAGGAAAGAAACTCACCCGAGGATAATCCGAATGATATAAAATAAAGACAATTGAAGGTGTTTCACGAAACTCTTGCTAACGACAAGGTCAAACATACATGAGGTCCATATCCCCGCACCACAGCCGCACCAGAGAACGACACGAGATACCGTAAACAAAGCAAATGGCGGAATCGGTTTTCCACGCCGCGACGCCGACGGATCGATACACAGACGTAGCTTCGAGCAGACCAAATAAGTGGAAAAGGCTGGGGTGCTAAATCGGAAAGAACTTTGAGAAATATTTTGCTGTGCTAATACAAGGGACACATGCGTACAGGACGAGTGCAGGTTGATGTTGATTTTGCAGGGAATTTCATGATTTTCGTTGCCTATTGCCTTTAACCTTTTTCATTTCCTTCTGCTTATTCTTCTGACTTATCGCTTGCTTTTATGTGAGGTGACAGACGATCTTGTCTTTCGCGATTTAACTACTGGCCTTAAAGCATTAATGAATACTTAAAACAAATTGGATATTTATTAAACTGTCCTATAAAGGAACTATTTACAGCTAATAGAATACCACAAGTTTAATTAAAATATTCCAATAATCTGTAGCGTCCCATAAATCTTTCACGAATCTGAATTTAAATGTTACAGTTATGACTGTATTAGTTAAATAGTCAATAAAATAGAAGGAACTAATTGATAAATACGGAGGTATTTGATACAATTTTATTACAACCCCGTAAATTAATACTACTCGTGGTAATCACATTTTTATGACCACTAAATTAGCGCTCACTTAACAACATGATAACATGGGCTGTGGAACAAACCTTCATATCAAATATGCGGCAGTAAATTACTTTAACAGTAGCTTTAACAATTATGCACACTTTATATTTGTTTATTCTTTCATAAAATGTTAATTGATTTTGCACGCATCCTGGTCGATGAGTCATAAAATGGGTTTAACAAAAACGATATTTTGTAGTTTTAAATCTTATTTAGAATGATAGAATGTTAATAAAACTGGTAAAAAAACATAATTAATTGTGATAAAATGAAAAGAACGTCTTGATGTTTAATTCTACTGATTTTCAAATTCGCTGAAAACAGATGGTTAATCGATAAAATTCTCTTACAATAAAGAAGAGTTGGCCGGTGATTTATTGGCTTGCTCTGCCACAAGTCGAAATCTGTTTTCATTATTAGTTTCAGCAGATTTTTCCAGATGTAATTGTCCTTTTTATATTTATTGTGATTTAGTACTTTTGTGGGATTTAAATGGATGAGTTTTCTAAAAGAATTAAATAAGTTTTGCCTTAAAAACCTGAAAAATAATTATTTTTATGCTGCTTATACAATAAGTGAATACTTTATAATATGAATATGGCATTATCAACAGAATTGATTTATGAACAAAAACACGATTAGCCCGTCACACCAAACTTTTATTTTAATAGCACAACGCGTTTCGACCACAAAGTGGTCATCCTCAGGTGAGAATAAATTGAGAATAATTGAGTTTTATTCTCACCTGAGGATGACCACTTTGTGGTCGAAACGCGTTGTGCTATTAAAATAAAAGTTTGGTGTGACGGGCTAATCGTGTTTTTGTTCATCGTTTCCATACCAAGAAGATCCAAGAAGAAGAAGAATTGATTTAGTTAATCAACTCAATATTTTGAGAAAACTTATTTCTTCAAACAAAAGTGAATAGAAAAGTTTCTTAACATTTTGTGAATTCTTTAAGTATACCACCTATAAATATTTTTTCGATTTCAGACTCCCTTACAGTAAATGGCACATTATATCTTTAGATATTGCTATGAAAATGGTTCTAAATGTCTTCTAGCAGATTTACTTAGTCAGAAATAATTGTGGGTTTATATACGCACGAAAAAGCCTTCTTAAAAGAATTTACTGATTCACATTAAAATACATGTTTGTTTAGTGTTATATTTTTATGCCTGGACATCGACGTCTACCTCGAAACAAAACATAGGTTCTTCACCATAAACCGTCACATCGAGTTTATATCTCCCCACCATACCAATTGGAACGACGACATCATCTTCATTTAGTTCAAAATTTTTCCATTCATAGGTGCCCTAGAAGAATAGATAATATTTGTGTTTTTATATTTAAAAACTTGCTTTTGGCACGACACATTCTTCTGCAATTTCTGGATTTGACGCTGATCTCGCTTTATCCCAACTTTTTGAAAGAAACTGTTGAATGTAGAAGCAAATATCACCTTTTTTTTCGTCGTAGTTATACTCCCATTCGTCTTTATCTTTATCATATTTATGAAGTTTCAAGACAAACTAAGACAATAAAAAATTAAAATACCTTACAAACTAAATTAAAACGTGTACTACAGTAGCATCATCTTTTATGTCAGCATCCGGCAGGTCCATTGTGAGGTCAATTTTTTTCAATTCTCCATCAAAAGTTTGAGTAATAGATCCCTTGCCATCTACGGATTCTCTACATTCAGTTACTTCAATCACATCTATTTTGCACTAAAATACAGAACAAAATTACGAAAGCAATAAATTACAAAGTATATATTATGAACCTGACATCTTTCTACTAGGACAAATAACCAGAAACAATAAATAAAACTCTTTGGAATAATAGATTCCATAGTGCAACATACAAAATTTCTATCTTTTTATTTGCGACTATTTAATGATTTTATTTGGCCTCGAAAGTTGTAATTTATACTTTACAACAAAACAAATCCTTGTTAAAAATGTTGACATGAGTTTTAACTAGGTACAAGAACATTTTTAACCTCGTACCGGAAATATCAGACACACTTAACAATCTGATTATATTTATGTTTTGCTTTTTTGTTAAGTGAACTTGCGAAGTGAAGTAATATTGACATTGCCATTTTGATACTAAAATCATAAATTCTGAACTTATTGTAGAACTTAAAGCAATTTAAAAGTTTTGTTCTTGGAGTTTAGAGCAGACAACCTGCATTTTATGAGATAATGTAGTAAATTAGCAATTTGTTATAATAAATGTACAAATGGAGACGGTATACGATTTTGCTAAGATTCGCCTTACAAAATATGAGAATAGTAGGGCTTGCAAGGGTTTAAATTACAAGACTAATTATAGAGAAGTAAAGTTGAACGAGAGACCATATACAAGGTGCGCCAGAACTCGCGCCCCAGAGAAAAATGCCATATAAGGTAAGATACCAGGAACATGGAAAAAATGTTAAAAAAATTTTATCTATAAAAATTTCGAAGTTATGTGGGTTTAAAGTTTGCACTTTGACTCTATTTATTTCAGTTGAAAAAATAATTTTCCAAGTTTTTTGCTATAGACTATTAAAAGAGGAAACAAGGAAGCTGTATCCTAAATTGTAACTCTGTTCAATGTTATTTGTGGCTTTTATTGGCAAAATTTTTGTCCCTTTACTAAATAATTGTAAAAAAACATATACAAGATCATCAGTATCATTAAATAGATATAAAAAAATGTCAAATGTCAAAAAATATATGTCAAAGTTTTTTGACAGATAGAATTTTTTAAACATTTTTTTCATGTTCCTGGTATCTTACCTTACTTGAAAATTTTCTCTGGGGCGCGAGTTCTGGCGCACCCTGTATGGGTACAGAAGAAAAATGTTATAAATAAGAATGTTTACTGTGTCTTCAAACTAAAAGAACTGAAAATGAAATAATATTTGGCTGTTTATTATAATAAACGAAATAAATGTAAATGCATACTGTTTTTGGTGTGGTGTCTCCATTGAAGTGTCACATAAAAGTGGGTAGGAAGTCAGGTGGGTATAAGCGTAGAGGTATGCATAAAACCACAGGAATCAGAGACAACTTTATTGCTAAATTAAAAATTAATTAAGTACCTAAAATTAAGTACCTATCATCTGTAATTTAGCTAGTCACCTTCACCTTAAATTAAATACGAGTAAAAAAATACTGTCCTTTGAAATTGTCTTCTATAATGATTATCTTTGATACAACTATAATTTACTAATTATACTGTTTTATTAATTTAGGCCAAACTAATGGTAGGAGTAACCAGCTTCAGTCAGTTACAATTAAATTCCATTATCGTTAAACCTATTAAATATTCCTGGACGTATTTTCGTTTCAGTGCAACTACGCCCAAAGGATGTCTATGTCTTTGGGGTTCTCCTTCAGCTACGCTCTTCTCGCCAATTCACTCCCAAACATTTGAGCAGTAATAGGGTACTCGTTTAGAACTAGAACTTTACATGGTAATCTTTTTTATTCATTAATGTACTTACAATTTTTAAATCGATTGTGTAAAAAATTCTTTTTTCACTAAAATTACAAATAAAAGTATTATAATTACTTAGTTTTCTAATATCTGCGAATGGTAATCTCGAAAATAATGCTCTTGTTATGCTTGATATATTACATTGTCTCAGTTAACGTATTTTATTTGTACAATCAAAATCGTTCAGACAAAATAGAAGCTATGCAATCAAACTGGTTTGTAACTTTGAAACTAAGTTGACAACAACGAATATTGTAGAGATAGAAAAAGTAAGATTTAATTTTTTATTTGTTTTTAAGAACATTATTTCAGTCATAGAAACGAATAATGTTACAAATTTGTTTTGCTTTAATTTTTGTTTGTTGTGTTGCAACAAGAAAAATCAATACTCTCAAATGTATCTCAATCACGTTCGTTATCAGTTGGAAAATCAGAGATTCATGCACATTGTAATGTAATTTTGGTACCGTTTGTAGTAGCTTCATGTGAAGTGACATGTCTAACCACGTTATTATTACTCAATCTACACATGACTCACAGTAGCAATTATTGTAATTTGCGAGCAAACAAGAAGATGCCTGTAACAACTTAATTTACTTATTTGCCAATAATTTAATGATTATTCTGCATTCAAATCTCTCGAGAAACCTTTAATCTCTCGATATGATAATTAGTTTAAAATTTATTATTTACATAAGAGTAAATAACATATATTTATGTTAATCTGTTATTACGCAAAGGCAAGATGTTTACAAAGTGGTTACAATAAATTATTATAATAGGAAAATAAATAAAATTGTTTAAAAATAAGTTTTTTTTATCAATATTTAAACATTTGGTTCAAGCTTTGGCAAAGATTCTTTATTCTATATTCTAAATTATGATTATATTTTTGAAGCAATATTTTCGTTCTGTTCTTGTTAATTTTAAACCGATTATTCACTCATTTCTTCCACAAAACTTTCATCATCAGCTGCTTTGTATTTTATATGTATTCCTGTTACCCTTCGGCGTATTATTAGTAAAATCTTAAATCTTCCTGCACTAAATACAGAAGCAATTCATCACTACGAAATAAAACATTCCTCGTTGGAAGATAAATGTTTAGTAAAGAATACTTTATGACCCTCCCACATATATTTATACAATATTCCGACGCTCTTCCCTTAGTTACTCAACCCCTTATACAACTTTCAACACTACTTATCTAAGATTTTAGGAAAGCAGACGCATAAAGCTTTCGTCAAATACTGTTTCTCATTCAGTATAAAGTAAATAAATTCCCAGCCCTAATCAACTATGATAAGAAAACTGAAATGTAATTTCCGCCAAATTCTAAACAATGTTTGGAATTGTTGGTGAAAGCATAAAGCACTACAAGTGTTTTGTTCGACAGCAACGCTGAAACCTATTGTACCTTTTGTTCTAATAAACTATTACATTTGCTGAAACTGGGGATATGTTCTACAAAGTGGTGAAGCATGACTACTATCTGTACTGGGAAAACTTATGATGGCATTATCGATTCATTTGTAGTTAAATTTTGTCTGCTTACAGTTTGATTTATGAATAAAATTCTCGTACTCGAATAATAAGTATATTCTGTCTGATCGGATTGTCTACAAGAAAATATGCACATATTTAATCAAGCATGGTATTTGATGGATACTCATGCAATATATTGGGTGCTGGTGTTTACTTTAATCCGGGGGTGGGCACGTGCTTCTGGAAGCAATAAGATTTGACATGTTATCCCCTGGGCTACTAAATAATGGACCCCGCCTAGACCTCCTCTACACATTTTTTCTTTACACATCATGGGAGAAAAAACAAAACGACAACACATCTACATTTTATTCCAGATGAAAGTAAAAACTCGTTTAATTACTACTATACTTTAACTTAAAACTTAAAAAATTCTGCTTTATGTTTAGGTGTTAAAGTTTTGTTCGGTCTATGTTCGAATAAACGAAAAGCTTGAATTTTTGTAACGCCGCTACTGCTTGAGTAAACTTTAGCAGTTAGTTAACTCCGAAAATTTATACTTTGAATAATTCACATCATCTCGTTTGAAATGTCATTTGTCCCGCATCCTTTTTATCTTTACTTTAATCTAATCAGTCGGAACATCAATATTAGATTTTTTCATTTTTTCAGCGTCTGAAACCAGTAGACATTTAATACCTACCTGACTCTAATTAATTATTGAAATTTAACCGTTTTCTTATCGTGAATAAACAGAAAAAAATGAAATTAAGAGCCAATTATATTGGCATTGATCAAAGATAGTTTTCAAGTACTTACAGTAATGGACAGTGAATTTCATCCACCCAATTTCTGTGAATTCATAAAAATTCACTGTAGTCTGTGCTTTATTGTCATGATAACTGACATTCAAATACGTATTGTCCAATTTAATCAAATTCGAACATGCCAACAGTAAGTGCGTTTAATAAAATAAAAATTATCTCTCTGGTACAAGAAGGAATGTCTCAAAGACATGTCTCTATACTTTTAGGCATACCAAGGACTACCATTTCAAGGGACAAAGGTAAAAAGCAGCATAAAGCATCGAGCATTCCGTCAACATGGTTAGGAAAACCTAAAGACTAATATACACTTTTAATCTGTCAGGGAAATTGGGTGGACGAAATTCACTGTCTATTACTGTACACAGTTTTTTAAAATAACATTTGGAATTTACATTTTTTCCCATTGACAAAATATTCATTAGTTTAAAATTAATTAACTAAAATAATTAAATTCTATTTTTTTTATTTTAATTAATTTATTTTAATTAATTTATTTTTATTTGGCATTAACAATGTAAAACAAATAAACTTTATTTTGTTTTTAATAGTTTTAATCTATTTTAGTATTCTAAATTCTACATTTCTTTCTATGTATGTCAGAATGTTGAAGAAATAAATGCCATTTTTGCGCTATACATATGTGACCAACAATGCAGCAGTCTAATAACTGTTGCAGAAGTTGAAGAAGAAAAGTAAATGAATGGTATCTAAAAATACCATTCTTAGTTTTAGTTTACAATTCACTCTATGCAGTTAAAATATGATTTGTATAACTATTTATATTTTTGTTGTAAAAAGTTTGTGTAAAAAATGTGCGAAATACAAAACCTTACTTTTGTTGAGTTCTAAATATGCATAAAATTATAATATTTAGTTATACTTATCTTGCTATCTTTTATTAAATATAATGAATAAAAGTTAATGCTACAAACATAACAAATGCTATTTATTTATTGCTCATATTATAAAATTTTCGATTTTTCGAGTAAACTTAAAGTATTTAGGTAGTTGGTTTCATTTATTTTAGAAAAATGAAAAATGTCGTCTTAAAGATAAAAATAGTATATTAAAAAACAAGTGTTGCAAACACTCTCACTCTTTTTGTGATACGAGTGTTGCAATGTACGAGTATCACAATGAGAGGATGTAACACGTGTTTTTTATACTATTTTTCTATTGAGCGATTTTTAAATTGAATTTATTAGAAGTATTATGTTTGACAGTTAAAATTTTTGTCAATTGAGGTATGCGGTACCCATAGGCGGTACCCAATTGCTAGAAAATAGCTCAAATTGCATTAGTATCGATGAAATAGGTTGATTTACAATTTCTGAAAACAGTGGCGCCGTACAAAATGCCCATTGTGACACCCCAATAGAAAGAAAAGCTCTTATGCACTTTCTCTTATTTATGCTTTGCTCACTTATTTGTTCATATGCTCCTTCTCTTTCTTATTATGCTTAATAAAGTCAAAAATATCCAAAATGTTAATTCAGCTAGATAACTAATTTTGCAGTTTCCTCGACGTCAATTGATTTCTCTGAACATTTTACATATGTATGTAAAAACATTATAACGTTTGAGATACAGTTTTGACGTAATTTACAAAATACGAAAAGTAAAAATTTGTGAATCTTCTGAACTTACGACAACATCGAAAATAATTGTGTACAAAGTTGGAATGTTTAATTTGGTTCTTTCTAAAATATAATTTTGCCTGATTTTATTTGCTGCGCCACTGGGTATCACAATTACACAGTTTTTAACATTTTTAATTAAATAATTGGCATAGTTTTTTTATTATTGCAATTCATAATAAATAAAGCAGCAGTAATTAAAAAGTGGTTTCAAAAAAATACGAAAACATTTCAAAATCAACGGATTTGATCTGATTTGTATTTAAATCTTCAGATTTGGCAACACCGTAAGAGTTAAAGACGAGGGCAGTGTACTCAAGAACCTGTGCAAGAGATTAAAGCTTACCTTCGTTTACCTGGTCAGAGCAGGATATGTTTGAGACCAGTTCCATTATAACTTTATTAAAGTTGTATGGTAAAGAAATTTCTAAAATTTAATTTAGATTGGGTTATTTATCGTGTATCAAACGTATGCATATTAACAATAATTTTAGTGTTAGAGGTGTTGTGATCTTGCATTGAAATTACCATCGAATTTTGTGTTCGGTAAGTTTATATTTACTTTTTTTATAGAGTGGGGTTTTTATTAATGATGCGCTGTGTGTTTGCGCATTAACTACCTAAACATAAGACAACTTACGAGTAATTTTAAAATACTTAAAAATTAGCTTTATTTAAGTATATCTTACTTACACTTAAGTCTAATAATTAATTATGTATACATAATTCATACATTTTGTTATAATATGAAAAAAAAAAGTAACAAGAGATAGGTAGGTACATTTTTATTTTCTTAGTGTTATTTGTTATGTATTATCTGCAACGTTCATTATTCATAATACAGGATTTGCAATTTAGCTATTAAATTATTTTTGTTCTAATTGGCTGTATTATAATTCTAATAATAATATTTGATGTGATAAACATTTTTAATGAATGTAAATAGCAACTATTTTATAGACAATAGAAAGGACAGTAAAATGGGTTGTTTGCACTTTCTAAAATCATATAAATGTTTAGATAATGTTTAGATGATTGATAAAACCCAAAACTACTTCTCTTATGGTTAAATAGATTGCAAGTTTTAAACCCAAAGGTGGTTTAATAAATATTATCATCTGAGTTAGAGAAAATTATTTTGATTAATAAATATTTTTTCATTAACTTGATCCATTTCTTAATATTTAGAGTGTATTTAAAAAAACATAATTTGGAAAATTATGTTATATTCAAATTGATACTTAAATTATGATAATACAGTTTCTTAATAAGGCATTATACAAACTGGCTTTTAGGTTTAAGATGGGATCTCGAGTTGGAGGATTTAATTCGGCTGGTTTGCCAGCTGATAAAGCTCTAGCAGGAGTTCCCCGATTGTTAGATGATTTGCAACGCCTCTCTGAAGATACAGATTCAGCAGATATTGTTTTTATTCTTGGAAGAGAAGAAGAGCGGGTATATGCACATCGAGTAATTCTTATGGCTAGGTAAAATAATTTCTTCTTTACTAAATTTTGTCTTGATATCATATCAAGAACAGTTCTTCATTGTTAAATATGTTGCAATTAAAGTTTTAATAAAGTTGTGCTCGTCGTTTTTAAAGCTGTTAATTTTATTTTGTTGCAATTAAGACTCATATAATGAGAAGATGATCCAACAAGAGCAAATTGTTGGACTTTAAAAAAGTTTCGGATTTTTACAAAGTTGCAAAGACAAGGAACCAGGGTTTTGCGCACCTCTCATTAAAACATCAAAGTTGTTTGCACCTTTGTTCTTATCTACTCGTAACTTTATTGTTTCCACTCATATAATGACGCTAATAATTAGTCTCTTTCTCTATCTCAACGACTCTTGTTTCTGATGTCTAATTGGATATCTTTCTAAAATTGCTTTGATCCTGTGAGTCTACTATTGTGCAAGAGTACCTACACGCGCTGTACATTATGATTATGCATTTTTCTTCAAACACTGACGCATAAACTCGTATGACTGAGTGGCTGACGTCGGTTTCAAAGAAAATGTAGCTAATGGAAACGTCTTTGTCTTTGTTGCAGCACGTTTGAGAAAAAAAACATTTTTCAAGCTAATTTCTTTTTTATATTTTGCATCAGATGCAAGAGTTTTCAAACAGCCAAACGCGGTGAAGTGTGTCGCATTCCAGGATGTTCAGTCTCTCCAGCAGCTCCAGGAACCCCAACACCTGTGCGACTACCTCAGGCGCCTCCTGACACGTTCAAACAGTTTCTTCTTTATGTATACACAGGAAAGGTTTGTATAAATTTACTGTTTATTTGTTTATTTTTTCTATATACTGACTAAAAAGAAATTTACCAGATACTGCTACAAGACAGTGGTGTTTTCGAAATGTTGGCTCTTGCTCAAGAACTGGGAGTGGATGAATTGAGAAATGCTTGTGAAGATCATGTCACTTCTACTTTGTCTGTAGCTTCAGCGTGCACATTTTTGGCCGCTGCGATGGATATTCAAAATCGTTCTCCGGGTAAGCAAAAAATACTTAAGTTGAGTAGGTACAAAAAATTAAATAAAACATAATACAGAATCAAGTTCAAATTCAAAATGATTTGTAAAATAATATGTACAATGTCATACAATGCAAGAACATGTTTTCAAATAAAAAAATATCAAATTAAAAAGTAGAAATGTAGAGAGAACAGTCGTAGTATCTTTAAAAGTAAGAAACTTATTTGTAATAGTAATTTTTTAGTAGTATTTTTAGGCCGTGGTTAGCTGTTCCCACATTTACCTTACAAATATGACAATCGCTATAAGTCATTATTGCGGACTAACCGATCCGTTCGCACATACAGAGTGAATCAAAAGTCTCGGATCATTTCTTGAGTAAAGGGCATCCAACTAAATTAAAAGTTCCCATGACAAGAAATTAAAAAAAAAAGTCTTCTATTATCATTTGAGAGTTGGTCCAACACTTTTAAATCACCATAATGAGTGTTCTTTAAGCATCATATAACTTTAATTTGTAAAAATAATAGACAAAAGTAACTTTTCTTCATACTTAGTTTTTTATTCAAAATGATCATTGGGGTAGTATGAAATGTATTTAATTCTGAGCAACTTTTTCAAGCACTGCTGTATGTTACGAAAATCAATGTTATTTTTTTGAAAAGTCAATCACCAACGACTTATTCAAATCAAAGTTTGGTGATAAATAAATAGATCTATGAGGCTTAAAAAAACACTTTATTTGCGGATGCCGTCTATAGAGCTCCAAGGATCAAATATATTTTACATATTTTTCTATTTTTCGTACACGTTGGACTGTTTTCTTCTTCCCCTAACCTCTATTTTTCGGGGAAATCTCGACTTGTCCTACTGTAATAACAAGGGTTATACCTAATAAAAGTTACATAACTTTGTATATTTATGTGGGGACATCATCGTGCGGACGAAACGACATAATTGTTCGTTCGCAAGTGCGTGCAGATATTTTGTTGGCCATTTGTCCCCAAAATTTTTTTTTTATTTAATCCTCTATGTTAAAATTGAATTTTATATTCTGTTTTCTTCATGTTAAAATGAAATTTTATCGTCTAGATGATAAAAAGTACATCCATTATTGTATACCTGTGGTTGTTAGTTGCTAACGATCTTTGACATTAGATTTCATTGATGAATTTTACTTTTATATTTAGAAATATCAACAAAATTTACTAAAAAATTGTGAGGATTGAATAAAATTTTATATTGTACACGACGATAAAATTTTCATTATCTTTCAGCATATTAGCGTCTCGGCTGACGTCTCGATGCTATCTCAAAGATAAAATTCAATTTTATCGTCTTGTATGATAAATAACAATTTTTTTTTAATAATAAAAAATAAAAATAAAATGAGTATTATGTTTTCCACTTCTATTTGATTTTACATTTGCTTTTTTGGCACGTAAATACAAAACATTTAATTCTGGCTTAACAAAAATATTTATTAGCAATAAATCAATTTTTTAATAACGCTAGAAAAACCATACAACCAGTACACGTAAAGGCTTTAGTGAATTTCAATTCTCCAAGTTTATCGTTTTACAGCGTCGCCAACCAAACCAAATTCTCAACATAACCTCAATTTTGTCGTTTTGTGAGCGTCGCCTCATTTTAAGTTTTATAAACTCCTAGTGCAAAATTGACTGGTTTTGTGGAACGAATAATTTGCTGTTTACTTTAAAAGTGTGTTTACGAAGAATACGTAGTTTCTATTACCTTCGTTGAAGAATTTCATTTTGCCGGTAACTCAAGAATCCTCCAACAATGGCCTACAAACCACAAAAAGTTCAAAAAGTGATGGTACAACCCATCAACTTAATTTTCCGTTACTTACAAAATCGTTCAAGAGTGCAAGTTTGGTTATACGAAAACATTAATTTGAGAATTGAAGGTCACATTGTGGGTTTTGATGAATACATGAATCTTGTACTGGATGATGCTGAGGAATATTACGTTAAAACGAAGAATAGGAGGCAGCTGGGAAGAATAATGCTTAAAGGAGACAACATAACACTGATACAGAATGTGAATCCGCAATCTGGCAATTAGTTGTAAATTTATGGTGTAATTCTAAGTTTCATAACATTCTTTTCATTCATTGGAGTTATGTATGTTTGTAAGAAAACAGCAATTGGTTTTAGTATTAAGTAATTAATTTATCTACTTTTTGTAAAAGAAAAGTGGACATTAAAACTATTTTAATAATTGTGCTTTTCATTTTTAATTCAAAACTAAATAAATTAAGAGATGTGTGAAAAGGTATCTATCGTTTTATTAATATTTTTTACGCATGCAAGCATTTACAATTTGATTTTTCAGGAGGTAAAGCAGCTACAGGTTTTGTTGAACGTTGCGTCAGCTACATAGGCGAAAATGCTGCAGAATGTGTTAAAACAAATTCATTTCTATCTCTTCCAAAAGAAGCGGTCTTGAAATTAATTTCCTCAGATTATGTACGTTTTAAACAAGTATTTGGGCCAAAATCAATCATTTGCTTCAATTTTAGCTTTGTTTGGAAGAAGAGGATGTGTGGAGAGCTATCCTAAACTGGGCAAAATATCAAGCTGGAGTAACCCAACCAACAGCCCACTGGACTGAAGAAGAAAGAGCCAGAGTGTGCCAACACCTCTCGCATGTGATATCTCATGTTCGCTTGCTTCTGATTGGTAGTCCGCACTAACAGAATTTGTATTCATTTAAATGCAAATTTTGCAGACAGCCAAGTCTTCGCTGAAGAAGTTGAACCAACTGGGGCCGTTCCAATGGAGCTCAGCTTGGAAAGATACAGACATGCAGCGCTTCCAAGCAAATATCCTGAGGGAGCAGAGGACCAGCGACTGCGTCCAAGAATATCGCCACATTTATTTCCAGGATCGTTAATTCTGGGCCAAGACAAGAGTCACTATCAAAGAGTGCTGAATGCCTGGTTTGGTAACCCCAAACAGAGTTGGAGATTGATTTACAGGGCCAGCAGTCATGGATACTCTGCATCAGCTTTTCACAGACATTGTGATGGAATTTCGCCTACTTTTGTCATAGTCCTGGTAAGAATTTTTGATTAAGAAATTTCTTTTCATTGATTATAATATTAGGGTCCAAGAGGGGAAATCTGTGGTGGGTTCAGTGATGCAGCGTGGGGCCGACCTCCAGGAAAAAGTCACTATGTCGCCTCAGAGCGGGCTTTTCTCTTCACTCTTTACAATCACCAAGACTTGCCACCCACACAGTTTCATCTAGTGAAGAAACCGTTTGCCATTTGTTACCACCCAGAGTACGTATTTTTATTGTTGTGTGAAACGGAAATTAAATTGTTGAAATTAGTTCAGGGCCGATATTTGGAGCCGGTGCTGATCTCCTAATTTCAAACAATTGTAACAGTAATATGGACAGTTACTCAAACTTGCCTCACACCTATGATGGAGATGGGGCCTCACCTGCTGTTTTGATGGGCGATTATAATTTTACCGTCACCGATTACGAGGTTTTTACTCCAGTTAATTCGTCCGGAAAACACCATAAAAACGAAAGATATTGATCGTATTCTTGTAGTTTTTGTAACAAACCTATTTAGTTGTAAATATATAAACTAATTTTCTAAAGTCGAGTATTTACAATTTCCCTTTAATAAAAGCATGTGCGAAGTTACATATCACTAATTCAGATTAACAGGTGTAAAAATAGCCGGGCTAATGGCTATATTGATTCTTTTTGCAGCTTATTTCACACTAATGCAGTTCTGTTCGTTAGTCATCTTGTACTTTTTGTTTAATATTAAAAGAAATTAAAGAATTCGTTGCCATTAGCACACATTTTTATTTCTAATTAAGAAAAAATTAAAGGTATGATTAGCTTACTTTTCTACCCGACTTTTAAAAAGTTATGGGAAGTCGTAAAAATTCAATTTGACCTTATTTATACAAGTAAGTAAGCTAATAGGATTATTCGAAATGGATTTTAAGAAACTGTTATAAACGTGGTTTTTATTTCTAGGACCTAACAGCATTTTTGCATTTCAAGCGATTTTATAATTAGTACATTTTTTTTATATTTATGCCTTGAATTTAAATGGAACTCTTAAAATAAACTGGAATGAGTTTGTTTAATATCATTAACATATCTTATTAAGCAATATTGGAAATATCAAATAGGAATGCCAAATAAAATTGTACTTTTTACTACTACTAACGAGGCCAATATCACACACCGTTAGTTGTAAAATTTATATCAGTTTTGAATAAACATTAAATTTAGAAAAATCTGCAAACAGATTTTTGTCGGCAACAACTAAATTGAGTGGTTATTTGAAAAGGAACTTTCAAATGCGGTATTCGTATTTCTCCGAGTTTGTTGCAAACTGCAAGTTATTACACATCCTGAAACAAACTTTATAGTTACCAAAATTACTTTAGGGTAGATGCATATTCTATCTAAGTTCATCAATGTGGAATGTTTAAACCACTTGGACGTTGGATTTCAAATACGTGAAATTTCGCTTGTTTACGTAACAGCCTTTCTCAAATGTTTTTTTTTAGTTGCTAGAGAGTTATTTCGATTTTTGGGTTCTGCTGTGAATTCTAATAAAATTAATTAATTAAAAATTAATTGGTGCAGTAACGTACAGGTTTTACTTGCCCTAATACGAGAATATAGAAACATATTATAAATATTCGTTTGCATAGTACTGAAAGTAATAGGTTTTTGAAATTAACACGATGTACAATAATTTTATCTAATAATACGATTAATAATTTAGTAATAAGTATGTGAAATGCGTTTCATCAATAATAAACCGGTTTTAATGTAAATTAGTTGCACTTTGTGGAAAGAGTATTAGAGTAAAAAGCAATGATTATCACCGATTTATCTACAGGATATCTTAATTTAACTGGATGCGTAAGTGCAGTATCCTCACAAATAGTACAAACGTAAAATAACATCTCTCTACAAGTAATACCTGTTATTGGGTATTTCTAAACTTTTCGAGCAAAAACTTTTAACTATAAAAACTTTTAAAAACATGCTAATGAATTTCCTGCTTACAGATATGTAATTCTAAATTTAGTAAGTTATAATTAAATTTTTTGTTAATTCTAAACAGTTTCTGAAAATAATAGATATGTCTTTAAACGTTTTGAATAAAATTTTGAAGAGGGAGCTATTACGAGCATACTAATGTCGATCCGCATTTTCATTAATCACTTTTTACCATTTTTCTTCCGGAAAATGTGTGGGCGATAGCAGGACAAAAATACCAGCTAGGTATTGAAATTTGAAATGTCGGAAAAAATTGATGTACGATGTCCAATTAATAATAAAAAACGCCCACAATTTTAAGCGCAAATAATACGCACAAATACAAAATGTAAATATAAATTACATTTACCCGTTTGTAAATTTGCATTGATTATTAACTACTTTTGTTAGAGTTTTTATATAAAAATCTGTTGGCGTAAATTGAACCTTTGGGTCTCAAAAGAAATTATTATTGTGTCAATTTAGACTATTTACACTAAGTATAAAACGATGTAGAGTAAATAAATTAATGTTTGTGAATTTAAATATTTACAGCGCAATCAAAAAAATGGAGTAGATAATTAAAATTATACCTATGATACTGTGTTTTTTATAAGATACGAATATGTGTGTGATAGATTTTAATCTCTTTAGATAAAAATACAATTTTAGAGTACCTGTTTTAAACAATTTGAATAAACATTTTATCTACTTTCTATTCTCAAATCATTGAACTCGTAGAATCTTTATCTCAATTTCACTTATACTTTTATCGATAATACTTATACCACTAGTTTTATTATATTCGATTATAGGGCGTGGAGATGTTTATAATGAAATAAGCCTGTAATTAATAACATAAATAATTTAGTAGATCCATATTTTTTGAAGTCAAAGTATTTGTACCTACGAATAAATAATTATAAGTATTCAAGTATTGAGCTAAAGATAATTTTCAGAGTAACGCATGCGTTACTGAAAATTAACAACATTTAACATTCATGAAAATTTTGATTTTTCTACGAGTGCGCATAATGAGATATCGATCATAAAACAGTTAAAACTTTTTACAAATGTAAAATAGTAAATTGTACGACTTTTTAATTTTTTGTAACATGTTAACACAATTTTTGAACTATCTATCGTTATTCAAAAACTTACTTTGAAGAACCAAACTTTAATTTAAATAAACTATAAAGCTTTGCATTATTTGTATTTCAAAAATTGTTTAAAAGAGATTATTAGTCAAGCGTTTTATTTTTTATTGTAGGTAGTTGAAACTACACTGTCGTCGTCTTATCACAATATGATTAACTTTGTTTTTGTGTTCTTTTTACTTTTATTTTTTTAACTATTTGCAGTAAATACCGTTGATTTTTTTTGTTCATGTTTGTTTTATATAACACAAAAAAGAAAATGTATAATGGACGCTATTGTATTTAAATTTAAGAATGGCAAAAAAAATACAAAATTCCCTGTTTTAGTTTTAGGTTCGCTTTACAAAGGTCGTTATTTCGAAAAAAAATCAAATATAAATTTTATTTCTGTGCACAATAATAACATAAGAATAGCTCTCATCTTCCTATGCGCCCAGAAATATTTTATAGGCTTTCTAGCATTTCCAGCAAACGTCATAAAAGGCGCCATGAATATAACATTCCGGTTAGTAGGTTGGTTTGTCTAAAACGTTTTTTGTTCTAGTTCTTTATGGATTTTCATGTTCTCCCTATATGAAATTTTTTTTTTAATTTTTCACTTTTAATGACAATTTTCAATTTATTGTATTTTAATCAATGCAAAAATAGATTTTCAGTGGGTATAGGAATGTCGCATCTAGAGTAATTAATATTTAATATTTTAATTTAGTGATGTCTGAGCAGCGAGCATCTGATTGATTAGTGAGTGGGTGCATTGCAGGGCTCACTTCAGCTCGTTACATAACTCTGATTAAAAGGGTAACTCCACTACCCCTGCGTCTAGTGCGTTCTATGTGAAATAAAGGTAAAAAACCAGCGAAAAAAGGCAGCATAAAGGGTAAGGTAAGACCGTAATGGTTCGTTCCAATCGGAAAAGTAATCAATGCGATTGCGCAACGCCATTTGCTACGACATCCATCCTCTAGCCTCGTTTAGCACATGGGTGGGGTGTCCCCAGAAAGAGTTCCTGCCAGAGCGAAACGGACGTTCGTACACAACTGTTGCACCTAAATATACTTCAATAGAATAGATATAGGCACCTGAATATTGACATTTGACGGGCAGTGTTCTGTGTTCTCTTACCAATTTTCCATGTTGTTTATTTAATTTTAATACGAACTATGGCCGAGGAAGATCTGAATGAAGAGGGAAGTGATCTAAATACCAAATTCGGCCTGCGTTTGCGGGGGAGGAAAGGTGCTCTCAAAAAGAAAAATGTGTATAACATTAAAGGCCATAGATTCATGCCCAGATTTTTTAAACAACCCACCTTCTGTTCGCACTGTAAGGATTTCATATGGTAAGTTTTTATTCATAATTTTTCCCTACTCACAAAATGTGTTCTTTGTCAATTTGAGATTTGTTAATTGTATTCACCCCTGACAAAAAAAATTGAATGCTGAGAAGCTCCCAACGGATTTCATTTTTTTTTCTTTCAAAAGAATTGTCCAACCACTAGTAAAACATTTTATTTAAAATTCACAAATCCACATGAATGCCTCCTACTCACATGTGAAATGTGTTTTCTGAATTTTAAATTTAAATCGCTCACCCAGTTGTATACTTAACCACAGAGTAAACCAATAAATTTTATGGATTTAACTGTAATTAACAAGAATAATGTCTGTTTTTGTAAATAAAAACAAAATTATAATATCTTCAGGATTTACCACTAATTTACGGTGGAATAAAGTATTTGTATACAAGTTTTTAGGTTTTTTATTAAATTTTGATGTGTGCAGTGCAGTGATGAAATATTATATTTTTATTAAATTTTAACTTTTCACAACTTCTATTAATTACGACATTATATTAGAAGTATGTACTTATTTTACAATTATTACAAAATCTTGACGCTCTCGTATTTCCTCACTGTTGCATAAATAAATAAATAAATAAGTACCTCTTAAAAAGAATAAAATGGTTTATTTTAATTTTTGTGACGAGTAAATACATACTTATTGTCATATTATACCGTACTTATTAAAAAATATTTATATATTGCACAAGCTTATTTTGCACAAATTTATTATTCGTATTCCGTTGTTTGAGTTCTTGTTTATTAAAAAGGAAAGGTCAAGATGTTGACATTAGCGAGCTGTAAAACAAACTCTATTTTTCTGATTTTTACAGGAACGAAATCAATATAATTTATTAATTTTAATTTTAGAATATTTAATTTTAATTTGCTTTATAATCAATGTAATGTTCTTAATTTGCTGGAAATTAAGATTTAAAAAAAGATAGATATAAAATTTCTAAATAAGGAAAGTACGTAAACATGATTAGAAGATAAAAAATATGAATGAGAATATGAAAAACATAAATCAAGATGATTTTCTTATCCTAATTGTTCTAATTTGTTTTATAAAGTAATTTTTTATGA